TGGAACCGGAAGGTCACCGGTTCAYTCCCCCGTCCAGCTGTCTCAGTTGTTGTGTCCTTGGGCAAGATACTTAACCCAAATGCCTCTGATGTGTGTCCCATCAGTGTATGAATGTGATTGGCACTGATTAGTCTCCATATATGATTGTACATGTTAGCTTTGTAGAGACCTAATAGAGTGCAGTGTGAATGGGTAAATGAGGACACAGATTGTAGTGGAAAGCGCTTTGAGTATCCTGGTTGGGTAGAAAGGTGCTATYCAAGTACAMTCCATTTACCATTTACCTGGTAGCGGGTGATGATTTTGCTGCTTTTATATTGACTGACATCTCCCTCGTTTTCYCCATTGCTGAACGTAGTATACATTTCTTCAGTGACGTGTGCGGATAGATTTAATGCACAATATTAATGTGCTTCTATTGTGAAAAGCTTGGGGGACATATGGATGAAGTGGTTTTGGACTGGGCTTCAGAAGACTGGTGCACAGAAGTTGAGTGATGCTGTTAATAAGCTTAATTAAATAACKTAAAACGACAGACCCAATAGTGATCGTTGCTCAACCCTCCTCCTTCCCGATCATACCAAAATGTATAACTACTGTCTACAACCAGGCAAAGAAGAAAAGACATGTTGATGAAGGGAACAGTGYCASAGACAGAGGTACAGTAAAAGAAAAAAAATCAAGAAATAACTTAAGTGTTGAAGAAAAGGAGTAACTTGAGCTGACCGCAGTTTGCTAATCAATAAGTTTATACATTTTATCAGCTGAACTGTGATGAAAAGGAAAATACAGTCAAATACCATGATTAAAAAAACATGGTAAAATTGTTGAAAATGTTGTGATATAAAATTTAGGTCATACCTACCAGCTCTAGAGCTAACTAATGACAAAAAGTACTCTTTGTCAGTCAGCTCCAACTGCCTCTTATTGCTGTTGCCAGATCAGCTTTGCAGGTTGGAGCCTTATCATGACCATTTTCTTCTATTTCTTTCAGAGTTTCAACTGTTTAAATTTAATTCTACCAGGTGTTTTAATCCCTTTAAATTAAACAATAAATTTAGTGGATAAACTTGTCAGTTTGGTTAAAAAAAATAAAAATACAGTAAAGTGCTATAATTTTTTTTTAAATAAATATATCAGAGCTCCTCAGTTGAAAATAGTTAAAATGACAGAGAAGAGCTGTTTAAAACCTCCTCTTCAGAAAGTTGTCAGTCCTAAGAACACTAAACTGTAACTTTTAAGGTCACACAGTATACCCCTATATAAGTTAAAATGTTTGACCTGTAAGCAGAAAGAAGCCTATGAATGTTGGGTAACCTGTAGGTGTAGAAAAAATTTAGTAGCAATATTTTTGCTGCTTTAATCCCTGAGCATACTCTGAGTCTCTCTATTTCAAAGAAAAGTGCTGAGGAGGAGAATGAGGAAGTTCTACTTAAGCAGCTCCTGAAACTGTCAACCTGGCTGACTGTGAACATGTATTCAGTAAACTTTGTATACAGAACAATATACTTATTAAATTACATTTTTCTTGAGATTTTTTTGGACAACCAAAATGTGTTGCAGACAACCAGATTTTGTCAAAAAATTATTTTTGTCTACCCCTGCCAAACAAAAGTTCTATCACCTTATTCAATAGCATTGGTCAGGGATGACATCATGAGAATTTCCGGGAATCCCGAAAGTCCCAGATGTCAGACAAGCTACGCAATGGACCACATACATCATGCCTGATTCCTACGGAAGCGTATTGCTATCACGCAGGAAAAAAAAATCCGAGCGCTATTACGTTATAATGTGATACGTATCTTGTTAAAACGTGATAGTATCTTGTTAAAACGTGATACGTATCTTGTTAAAATGTGATAGTATCTTGTTAAAACGTGATACGTATCTTGTTAAAACGTGATGGTAATGGTAATGGTAATTGGGGATGGGTACAACCCAGGTGAGCGGGGGCCTCATAAATGGGCCCATTGCTCTCCCCAAAAGATACTGGGCTTTAATCAAACCTTTTTGTCCCTCGGATGAAGGACACCAGGTTAGAAACCCTCAGTGTTCTAAGC